TCCCCGGGAGCGCCGGGGATTCGCTTCCTGGAGGAAGAGCCTGCTGCGAGGTTGGCATGTGAGTTGCGTTGTCCTCCCCGTCTTCCCTCCCCCTCTTCCCACGCCGTTGTCCTCCTGTAGGTGTGGATTTGATGGGTTTTTTTCCGGCGCTCCCCCTTCTCGGCCGGAGCTGGGCGAGTGCCCCTGCGCCCTCCCAGGGGCTGTCCCAGGGCAGGCGTGGCGACAGAGCCTTCCCGGAGACGGCAGGGCTGCCAGGCTGCCCAGGGGGGCGGGGGGGCTCCGTCGGGGGCTCTCCCCCTCACACGCCTCCCGTCTGCCTCATCCGGCTGTGCCGCCCCTCTGCTGGGAGTGGTTAATGCCGCTTCTCCCCGTCTGCCGTGCCCAGGTTGAGATCGTTTTCTGCCTTCCCTAGGAGATCTCGTCTCTTAGGGGGTGGCCGAGGAGGGGTGTGTATATGTGTGTAGCGGGAGTGGAGGGGGGAAGTGAAACAAACGTGCAAAATAATCAATCAATACAATCAATCCCCTCTCTTGCTTGGCAGAGGAAAGCCGCCAGAACAACAACTTCAAACTGCACCCGGGAGCACCGGTGCACCCTTCTGTACTCTATCCTGAGCGGTAAGAGCAGGTGTTCAGGCCCCCCCCCCAGGATGCTCTCACCCCCTCTCCAAGCCTATGACCTTTCCCTGTCCTTCCCCATCTGAGCAACTCCCCTGCCCACCCACCCCTTCTTACCTGGACATGGCGATCCCCACCTCATCATGCACCCCATCGCAATTACCAAATGACGCCAGCCCGCCTCACCTGGCGTGTCTCCGGGATTTGAAGCCTGGTGGAAACCCTCTGCTTGGAGAGGTGATGGTGGGAGGCAGCGCAGGGCTCTCTGAGCAGCACACGCAAGAGGGTGGCAGGATGTTGATTTGCCGCCAAGTTCTCCCTCTCCCACCCCCTCACAGCACTGGGTGAAGCGAGGGCACTGATTAAGAGGAGATTTTTCACCAACTTGCAGTCTCAAATCTGTGTAATCAATTCGGCTGAAGACGTTATTTGATGGAAACACCTGAGGGAAATGATGGACGCAGGCACTGACCATTTTAGCAGGGGCCACTGAGAGCTTGGTGTGGCTTCTGTAGCAGCACTATAAGAGCATCCCAGACCATGCCTTTCAGAAAACCTTAAAGACAGCTGGTGCAGGGCTTTCATCCCACATCCCCAGGCAGCTAAGTTACCTTCACCAGCCTGAGCTGTACTCACAATTGTGAGGAGGGTGAGCCTTTTCCTACTAAGAGGTTTTACGGCTTGAATAATGGGGAGAGTGTATTAACCTCTAACTATTGTGGGAGGCACCCATACCTGCAGGATTCACTGCACTCAGTTTTGACACTGTCTTCCTCTGCTGATACCTCCTGCCCTCTAAAATGCACTGGCTGCTTTGTTCTTGCCCCCACATTTATGGCTTCTGGGAGTTCACTGAGAAAGTCAGGAGGGTGCAGATGGGTAAACATATGAGAAGGATGTGGTTGTTACCAGGCTCAGGGGAGAAAAGCATCCTGTGGGGAAAGACGTCCTGCGAAAAGAAAAGGGAAAAAAAAAAAAAAAAAAAGACTCCACAGCTATATACTCATTTATGCTGCTGAAATAAACTTGAAATGATATATTGCTGCACAGACACGAATCTCTGCTTCAGGTCGCTAACACAGCTTGGTGGTAAGAGCAACCTCTCTCTTTTGCTTTTGGACAACTTTTTCTCTAAGCAAAACAATAGCCCTCCAAGTATCTTGGTATTTGTCCGGCCCCTCCCCCTTCAGGGTTTTATTTTCTGCTGTTCAATACTTGTCCGTCACCATAACAAACTAATCAAGAATCAAATATGTTTACAGGCTCTTGCATTAAAAGTATTTATTTACATTTCCTTTCTAAGGCTTGGCAATACTTGCAAAAGGTCCATTTATTCACTTTTTTTTTTTTTAATTGGGTAAACGGGAAGTGGAGATTAGACAAACCCAGCAATTTTTCATTTATTTTATTCATAGAGAGTATTGCCAGGTTATCTGAAAAATACTCATTTTAGGGTTGAACACGTGATTGATTTGACTAAATGTAGGTAATCTTTCTCCCATATATATCCTGAAAAAAAATCAGGTATGGAGTTGATGTACTGAGTTATTGCTCCATGTGTCTGTACAGCAGCAATTCTGTCTCCTGATCCTTCTCAGTTCTAACTCCACTGGAAAATATTCACCACTTATATTTGCATGCACATCTTTTTTTCTAAAAAAAATACTCAAGCCCCAGCAACGTCTAGCACTCAGTTATGAGGATTATCTTAATAATTAACAGCTTACCCACTCCATAAATCCACAGCTGATAAAATACTGACAGTACTCCAAATTGCAATTAATTATGTCAGATTAACAGATGTGAAGTGAAAAAGTAGGAGGGGAAAAGGGGACTGAGGAAGTCTATAGTCTGTTATTATCAACGCACATTAAAAAAAATATTCAAACTGGTAAGACACGTCTCAAAATTAGTGGAAACCCAAAGCTACAGAACCAAGAAATCTTACACCTGGCTCTCCTAAAAGGCATTTATCACAAGGTTCTGAACTTCTACAAGTTGCCTTTCATCTTGATTAGCTTTGCATTTTGCTATTGCAACAGTTTCACATGAAAAGAGTGTGCTGAGAAATCCATTTCTAATATTATACAAACCCCTTCTGACTAAAACCTTACTGACTGAAGAATTACAGAAAACTTGCTTTTTTCCCCTGCACATAGAATCATAGAATCATTGAGGTTGGAAAAGACCTCTAAGATCATCGAGTCCAACCATCGACCCAACCCCACCATGTC